ATAGAGAACATGTTGCGAAACACAATAGCCAGCATGTGTAGTTCTGGGGACGGGGTGGGGGAGGGGGGGACGGGGTGGACCCGTTCAAATCCAGTTTTGGACAGTCTGCCGTGGTTCCATCCCATTTCAAGTGCTGTTCGATGCTCGGCGTAACCCTCAGAGCACACTCAAACATACAATCACAGAGCTTGAGGACTATCACAGGGTTTGTCAAGCGAAGCAGAGAGAATACTTACTTCCGGGTGTAATATTCTCTAAAAGCAAATGAGCTGCTCCGACCCTCGGTCCTGACGGACTCCAACTTGTGTTTATTAATCAAACAAATAAATAAACACAAGGATAATTATGTGTTATTGTTGAGTAAATGGAGAATTGCAGAGGCAAAAATAACGTATCTAGCAGCGTCCCTAGCAACCACCTTGGTAACAATAAAAACGTTGAATGGACACAATTTCCTGAAGTACTCTTCGTAATAACTAGCAAGCTAAAGATCATGTACATCCACTGCACACATAATCTGAAATAACAACTCATATTTCTCGCATCAAATGACATCAAAACGCATTTTAATGGCCAAACTAATCTTTTTTCCACCGAGAATAAAACGAAGTTCGGCCATGTTTTTTTTTTCTGCAGGGAGACATTTGAAGATCACGTGACATAGACGCCAGCCATTGGAATGAATGGTGAAAAAAACGGGGTTTGTCAAACAGAGCACATGGTGTAGTCCAGCGCCATATAGAGAGAATCTCTATATATCTATATGGCGCTGGTGTAGCTCTGGGGATTCTGGTATAGTGGATTGTCTTCTGCCATCCTTTACTCCGAAAAAATATTTGTTTCTCCGAAACGAAGGTCGATGAGTAGTGCAGATATCACTGTAAAATCAATCGCCAGCAAGGGGAATACTTACTTCCAAGTGTACAATTCTCCATTATCCAATGGGAATGGACGGTCACATTGCCTTTAAGGGCAGCCGACACAAACGAATGCCGTGCTTCCATGAGCGTCAAATCCCGCCGCAGATGGGAATACAGTACATTGCAATCAGTTGAAAGCTATTGCGTCCCTTTATGAAGCTGAAGGAGCCTAGGAGCGTCACAACTGCACGCCACGGGACCCTGACCAAGCGTCGCTCCTGGACGTTTATGGAGTGAGAGTGTGTTGTATTGTTAGATGTGCCAAGAGCAATGACTGTCTTAGGTAAGACAGCTTTTATGTGCGCAGCGCCACTTGCTTGGAACAGTCTAGCTAAAATTGAAACTGAGCAATTTTATTCCTCTGAATGTTTTTAAAGCAAGTCTAAGTGAAATGCTCTTTGAAACTATGGGTATTTGTAAATGTTGATAACTAGTAAATGTAGCTTGTAAATATGTAGTATGATATCCTCTATTGTTTTATGTTGTTTCATGTGGAACCTAATTGCTGCAGGTCTCCCTTGAAAAAGAGATCTATAATCTCAATGGGACCAATCTGGATAAATAAAGGTTACAAACAAACAATATAAGAGGAAATCGCTTACAAAGTGGCAGAAATTGGTCTTTTCATGACTCCATGAAAACATGCACTGAAAAAACTAAAACATTGACTTTAATTAAATGTATTATGTCAGCAGATTTCAACTAACCTAATACATGCAAGTTATGTGAAATGTGTTGACATAATACATTTAATTCAAGTTAACGTTTCAGCTTTTTCAGTGTAGCCTATACAGTGTGGACATTTAACTCAGAAAGTAGTAGATAAACTGATAAAACCTGTTTTATAGCTCAGGTAGATGTTGGGAAAACCTTTTTTAAATGAGGCTCAAAGTGCAGAGAAGCAGCTCTTCTCTGAGAACAGATGAGCGGCCGGTGCTGACCCTGCTGATGATAATTGATTTGCTTCAGCTAAATGATATATCCTACCTTACACTAAGCCTTAATTGTAGGGTCACTGTGGTAAATGGTGGCAAATTGCAGGGTTCTCAGAAATGATATTTTGACTACAGTGCAGACATGGACATGTATAATTCACTTTAAACAACATTTTAAAAAGTAAATATAAGAGTTAAAGTGACGTGATTTTGGATGTGATCATAAAACACTGGAAATGCAGGACTTTCTAAAATGTTATTTGGAGTGGGCTCTCATCTGAAGAAGCAGAATTGTATTATGTCAGAGTTAAATATGCAGACAGGTGTACTTTTACTCTCCATGTGTAAGCAGCCGCAGGAGGGGTGTGTCCCGTCCCAGGTCAGATAGTTCTGATTGTAGTGATAATGAAAGGTACACACTGTTTGATACAGGGGTGTGGAAGCCGGACGTTAAGGTCAGTGCAGCAAATCAAAGAACTGGATTTTGCATCAATATGATGAGAAAGGCTGGCTCGATTTGTCAGAAACAGAATTAGACAGTCGACTCTTAACTTTATCTTTAATTAAAATGTGATTTAATGCGCAACACGCATAACACAATATAATAACACACCAAAGAGTCAAATACAAAAAATATATAATATAAAAATGACAGAAATAAATTAAATGCATTTGAATAATTATTAATATTATTTTGATTATTATTTATGAATTCAATGTAACAATTATCAAAACAGTAATTGTATTATTATTTATTATTATTAAACATATTTTATTTCATTTTTCAATGAAGAACTTTTTTCAATGAAGAACCAGCATTACCAGCGTATTCAAATGTTTAGACAGTCAGTCCGTTTTAAACATATATATTTTTAAATGTGTTCCCGTGGTTTATGACAACTGAAATCAAACAAAACATGAATAAATGATAATTTAATGATTTTATGTCATATTTATTCTAAGTGTCCCCAGGTCGCAGCGGTCCGCCTCAGCCTGTAGTATAGGCCTACTGTCATACTGTCAGTATATTGACGTGTAGTTAGCAGATGGAGCAGGGGGCTGATCTCCACCTCCAGAGGTCATCCTCTCTACAGTCACCACTTGTTGCCAGAGCAGCTCGGGGCTCCAGCATTCAGCAGCAAACACATTTCAAGTATTTATTCCGCCTATCGAGACCTACATGTCTGGATGTTGAATGCGGAACGTTACGCGGACTGAAGCAAGACTCCTGTGATCCGGTTCCTAATATCTGGCGCATCTGACGGACAGAAGCATGGTTGATAATATAGCTACTAAATCTGCTTTGGTAAGGGTCCAGGCTTCTATTGGATTATTACACCTAACTACTTTACATAGTTTTCTATTCCAAATGCATTCATAACTAATAATGTAACTCCATTAGGAACTTTGTTTGTCGACAGTTTATCGGCTCATTTAGTGAAGTTTTTCACGTTCGCTTGTATGAGTAAAATGTAATCCTCTTTATGTTACAGCAGCGGTGAGCCAAACTGTGTAATGAGGCTAATTGGTGGAGCATGTGTTTTAATCGTATAAAGTGCCGCTGATAATAATTTCCCACCGCCCTCTCCCCGCAGCAAGGCTCTTTCTCGTCCGCCAGCAGCCTACCCCTGCCCGCTCCCTCCGCATCTTCTCACAGCCTCTTCCCCGGCTCACAGTCCCAGCAGCCCGCCAGCGGAGGCATGAAGCTCGAAGCCGTCATGGAGAACCTGCAGCGGCAACAGGCGGCGCGGCTGGCCCTGGAAGAGAAGCTCCGGCAGGCGGAGACAGAGAAAGACCTCCGCTCCATGGTGGAGTCCCAGATCCACCAACAAGCTCTGGCTTTCCGACACTACCAGGCGGCGATGCGCGGCGCCCTGGCCGCCGGAGTTGCCAACTCGTCCCCCGGGGTGACGCTCCCACACATGGGGGTCCGAAGAGCCGACGAGGACAGCTCCAGACCGGGCAGCGACGACAGGGAGCGGGACGATGAGGGAGAGGACATGGATGAGCAGGACCTGATGGATGAAGACGAGGAGGGCGAAGAAGATATCGGTTTGAACCACTTCCAGCACCGGCAGTCCTCGCTCCTCCAGGGAGCCTGCCTGCCTCCGAAGAGCACCCCGATGCATCTCATGGCCAGAGTCCCGGCGGCCTTCGCCTCGGGCCGGCACGCAGAGTCTCCATCGGCGCCCCCGCCCCAGCACCACGACTGGACCTACGAGGAGCAGTTCAAACAGGTAGGACAGCCCGAGCTGCTCACACTGAAAGTAGCCGAAGTTACTCCACTGTTTGACCTTCTCCAGTCATGTATGTGCGCTCTGAATAACCATGCGGGTTCTTCATTAGATTTGCCATCTATTTAAAATACAAGCTTGTGCCATGTTAGCCTTCCTTTACGCATTTGGATACATTGTTTTGGAGTGTCACTTCATGTTGCTGTATTTTGCATTCTGAAGAAAAACATGGTGATGAAGAGTCTGTTATCCAAAGGCTCTGTGTCGAATGTATTTGCAGATAATAATGAAAATGTCAAATGGTGAATATGTTCAGCTATCAGTTTCTGTTAGAATGAGGCTTTCTAACAAACTGCGAAATTATTGCATAATAATCAAAGTGTAGATCAGATATAAAAAGAACAACTCACAAGTTGACAAGTTGTGAAGATTCACAACAGCTCCAGATTCCTTTATTTACATCAAAACAAGCAATATTTGATAGGACACAAACTAATATAACTGTATTAAAATGACAGACTATAAAGTACTCAGCTATTTACAATGAACAAGAACACGTTTCTGGTTGCCGTTTTTTTTAAAAGGCTTTCCCTTGTGTCTATTATTTATATGGCAATAAAGCAGTTAAAAATGTTGATGGTACATTAAAAAAATAAATAAAAAGGATATTGCTTCAAACATTTCCATTCGACAAGTTGCCATATTTGATCGCTCAAATTGACTTTTTACAAACTATTGCCCAAAAGTTTTTCCTGTTAATGTCGTATATCTAGAAAACGTAATTTGTAATGAATTTGAATAATTATAAAGAAGAATTCATGATTTGCTCTTTTATTTTGTTAGCAGCTGGTTAATGACACTGAGTTATTTGATTGATATACGGCTGTGTGTATGTTTCCAGCCGGCAGCAGCAGATCTATACTCTGTGAGCGACTGTGGATGCTCCATGTCATCCTTTATTTATGATGGATCATTTACAGACTTCCCTAAATGTGATGTGTACATTAGTGACTGCATTAGCGCTGCACATTAAAGCAGCCCAATGCATGGAAATGCAATTTAAATAGGGGCTGAAACCAATAGCCTCAATATAGAGACAATTATGTGTGGAGGATGGTGAGATGATTGTATGCAGAGAACGCTCAATCGTTGTTTTCTCTTCACATCTATGCGTCATTAATGCTGTATTTTATAATTAATCTTCAGCTCTATAGTCATGTTAGTGGATAGCTTGCTTGACATTTGCCATCAATGAGATCTGATGGTAAGTAAGCGTTCCTTTCTTAAGTTACTACATCTTATAAACAACAGAAAAGCTTCAGCGAATAGATTTAAAATCTACCAGTTATTATTTTTATACTTTCCTGTATCCGTACATGCGTGCTCCATGTACCATCAGGCAGCACGCTTGAAGGATTCCTCAGGATGTGCAGTTATTGCGGGGTCATTTGTATGTAGTCATTCAATGTAATGGTCATGGGACAATAAAAGGATGCTTATGGCTGCTTGGCAGACAGAGTGGAGCCAGCATAGTAAGCATGCTCAAAGCTGCAAAACAAAACCACATTTGAAGGCAGTAAATGCATCTTTGGAAATAGGAACAAGATGTGGGCTAAATATAAAAAGGCCTCAGTGAGGCGGAGAACTTTTAATCTGATCTGAACCAAATGGGAGCAGCCGGTGTTTACAGTAGCTGCTAAATCACATGTGTTCACCTCAGGCACAACAGGAAGGCGTGTCAGGCAAGAAAACATTACATTAATAAACATAAATATACAAAAAAACACATATTTGTTGACATAACATTACATTTTCCATTCCTAAATAGAAACAAAAGGTAATCACAACCTACATTTTTATTGTACAGAATGATGACAGGCAGCTGGTGAAACTTATTTTAGTTTTAATGACCCAGCAGGAGACAACACAAAGAGATGAGAGTGTAAAACATAAAATAAATTCCTGGTGACAGAAAAAGATGCTGACGACAAAAAGATGCAAGGCAATGAGAGCTTTGGCAGAGGCTCAGGAAATGCAGGAAACTGGATCTGGTGGTATTCCAGCCTGGCTCACACCCAAAAAATGCTGGGATCTCCCTGTCTGGGAGTGTGTGTGTGTGTGTGTGTGTGTGTGTGTGTGTGTGTGTGTGTGTGTGTGTGTGTGTGTGTGTGTGTGTGTGTGTGTGTGTGTGTGTGTGTGTGTGTGTGTGTGTGTCTCTGTGTGTGTGTCTCTGTGTGTGTGTCTCTGTGTGTGTCTGGGAGTCGGCTCTGTGCCAAACTATTACGAAACAGAAACAAAAAACGTGTGCTGCTACACACTCGGCCATGCTTTCTCTCTTCAACACACACACTTACAATCGTGCAGATGTGTTAGCATGCAAATTGCACTTCTCAGTATCCTCTTAAAAATTACAGAAAGAAAATGTAATAGTGCACACTGAATAAACTAAAACGTTGACTTAATTAAATGTGTTATATCAACAGATTTCACATAACTGTATAAGGTTAGTTGAAAGCCATAGTATTAGGTCTAAATATAGATGATGGATAGATGGATGGACTTTTATTAATCCCTCGTGGGGAAATTGTTTCTCTGCATTTGACCCATCCTAGTGTTAGGAGCAGTGTGCTGCCATTTTGAACAGCGCCCGGGGAGCAGTGCCTTGCTCAGGGACACCTCAGTGGCACTTGGTCTTGCCGGGACTTGAACTGGTGACCTTCCAGTTGCCAAGCCAACTCCCTATCGACTTCGCCACCACCAACCATTATTATTAGGTTCAACTTAATATTATCGCTTTTAACTATCCTAATACCGTTATGTGACATTTGTGACACTATACATTTCATTAAAGTCAACATTTCAGCTCTTTCAGTGCATTATCTTTGGCATGTACAGCCTTGTGTTTAATGTTCACTATAGACTAAACTTTGAACTTGCTTTTAGTGTTGTCAAATCTCTGCTGCTGAATGTGCTCATGGATCGTAATCCGCAGCGCTTTACCACACGGCAATAATGTGACCAAGAAGAATGAAAGCAGTTATAATGTTCATGTGGCGGGCTGTGGTCTCTGCAAGGAGATTTTCAGAGTGCACTGGAACAGTCTGGAATGAAGAGAAAGACAATGTCACCACTTTTTGGATTTGAAGAACATTCTTATAAAGTCTGATCCTGAAATATATGTGCATGATTTCTTCACTAAATTCACTGCATCACGAGAACATTTTCTGACTATACTTATATGGGAAATCTTTGTATTAGTGCTGCTCCTTTATCTGCAGAATATCATGCATCTTCAAAAGCGATAATGCAAGGCACGGCACGTGTATCAGCAAGTTGTTTTTCAGACATAAGAATTATTGTCCAATACTACCAGACTTCAATCATTTCCTCCAGTCAAATGTATTTCCCTAATTAGTATGCAGTGCTCCTACTCTGTGTTGTTTAAAGACAGTCATTTCTAGAGGCTTCACTGAAAAAAACTGAACCGTTGACTTTATTATTAAGTAAGTTGATATATATATATATATGTTTTTTTTAAACATAAAATGATTGCTTTCAACTAATCTAATACAGTTAGGTGAAATCTGTTGACATAATGCATTTAATCAAAGTCAGCATTTCAGTTTTTTCATTGTTAGTTGAGGGCTGAATTTCTGAATTTGAGACGAAAGGACTTGTTTGAACAGTTTCTCTTAAATCAGTCAAATTCAGAGCAGTTTCGTGTCCTGTGTCCTTCTTAAAAACGCCACAGACAGACAGTAAAACTGATTGTGAACCAGACGAGACATCTCCCTGTCACGATGTGTCAGTATACGGAGCCACTCCTTGTTGTGGATTGTACCTCTTCCAGCTTGCTTTTCCAACAACTATAGAAAAGTGGTGGAGTGGGAGCGTCAGCTGTACCGGTGTATGATTTCAATCCCCCCCCCCGGGCCACCCAAATTATCCACACTGCCAAAATGAGTCCTTTTAGGCAAATCAGGTGAATGTTTTCAGAACAGTCATCTTTATTCACCTGCAGCTACTGAATTTACTATAGCTTATTTAAAATACTGTCAGTGGTTTTTGAAGTGGATTCAAATTGAAAACAGATTTTAAATCTTACCAATATGGCAATAAATTCAGTTGTTTAGACTCAAGCATGCAATAACAGACAAGATGAATTCATAAGATATTTGTTAAATGGCTCTATTCCCCAATAAGTAGTGTAAAAACAGAGACTTTGTACCGTTGATTTATTATATAGAATATAGACTATATGGTAGCCTATAGCCAAATATTGACGAGTGTAAGGGAACTGTGCAGTGAGGCCACAAACGCATCACAGGATTGCTTTCATGAGGATTCTTTGAAGGACCAGATCTTAGATCCAAACATTAAACCTTTCTGCCAATTTCTCAATGCATTTTCTATTGACCTTTCATTCGGTTTCAATGAGGGCTTCATTTTGAAGGCAGATACTGGTATTGATATATAGATAATTTAAAATAACAATTTAAAGCCTTTTATTCATGTACACATCATATACGTTTAGTTTATTATTATCCCAAATTGGGATCCATAAAGTATATGTAATCTAATCTTATTACATTAGAAATACTCATTTCCATTGGTTGTTCCCAGGCAACAAACATTGTCAATGAGAATCCCGTAAATGTGGTATTTCAAGAATTGTGACCAGGTATGTGCTACATAGAGTGTTGGTGTAAGAATGAACATGTCAGTGCTCTCTGGAGGTGAAACTGTTTCTAAACCACCTCAAACGTAACTTTGCATTTCTGTATTGGCATATCAGTTAACCTAGATACTAAATATCCATCATAAACTCAAATTGGCCGATTTATAAACCCAGACAATTTATTGGTTAAGCTTTTGTTTCAGAAAGCTGTTCCTTGCTGCAGGAATGCAAATGGAACTGTTTGTATACATTTTTGAGGTGAGGGATCTTTTTATTTTCGTGGTTCTGGTTAGCACTTGAGATGTCGAGCAGAAATATTCAATGTATTATACCTCTTCACAAAATAAAAATAAAGTGCTGCTTTCAGCGTGTTGAGGAAGGATGTTTGTTTTATATGAAAGAAAATAAGCATATTTCCTGTTTCTGTCATTCTTCTTTATCTGACAGCTTCTGGGAGCATTAATCCAAGCTAACTCCATGCAGCTGTTCATTTCCATTCACTTGCTGTGTGCTTAAAAAATCAATTAACACACTCTGGAATGTGCGTAAATCAACACAGTGAACATCCATTCTGGGGTTTACACAGAAATGAATGGAAGCAAATGTATGCCTGGAGAAGTTCACCACTCTACAACAAGTGTACAGCTCAGTGAGATGTATTCATGGTAAAGAATGGATTGTTTCTTTAGTATTTCTCAGCCATGTATCCAAGGGCTCATCTTGAAAAACAATCAGCCCTTCAATCTGACCCTTCCCCCCCACCCCTGCACCATCCACTTTAATGTGACCATAAAAGCCAGCAGGGAGAGCCTCTTTGAAAGAGACACATGCTCCGCACCGTAACTCCCGCGTCAACATTCTG